TCCGGGTCCTCATTTTACCCACCTCGGAAGGATGGAAGGCTGAGTCAACCCTGAGCCGGTGAGATTTGAACAGCCGAACTGCAGAACTGCAGTCAGCTGAAGTAGCCTGCAGTGCTGCATTTAACCACTGCACCACCTAACCCTAACCCTAACCCTAACCCTAACCCTAGAAAAACTATATCTGGAATTGATCAATTTCTGAACCTACAGGCACTCTGTCTCCTAAGTTTAAGCTTAAATCTTGACTGCTCTGTGACTTGTCAAATTATGACTTTATGTTTGATTTAGAACAGGGGTGTCAAACTGGAGACCTGCGGGTCAGATGTGTCACGCACAGGCCACGCCCACCCCAACTCCGCAATTGGGGAAAACATCACAAAACGTCACGTGACGGCAACGTGACACGGTGTGTTTGAACCTTGTGATTTAGTAGAATAACTTAGCCAGCCAGGTCAATAAAGCCAAGTCAATACAAAGCCACCCAATTCAATACATTTAAAAAAAATTGGATGACTCTTGGTAAAATGTTATGCTTTATATTTACCTTTAATGATACTGCATTTGGGCTTCAGTATTTTCAAATGAGAATGTTGGTCCTTCGTAGCCAATATAGTTTCTTTCAGTACCTGGATTATTCTCACAAGTATCCACTGCCACTACATGTCCTGCTTTATTAGGACTCATCAAATGCTCACCAGTCAAAGTTGATTTGCTCATGGCCCAATCTTCATCTTGAATGCTGATTTCTGAGCAAAAATTTCCTGAAATGTCTGTTACTAGGGGACAACTAAGCATATCCTTTGTATCACAGAAACTGTCAGGATATTTCACAGCAGGAGATTTATAGGCTTCAAGGGACATCTTTGTAGTTGCGGTTATAACAGTTTGCAGAGTTGGAACATTTAGAGAGGAGTGACTGCTGTATTTATACGCATATTCTTCACTATAATGAGGATAGTTAGCATTGGCTTGACAGAGACCATAGCTAATTTTTTCTCCATAATTATTTTCTCCTAAGGACTGTTTCATCCCCTGATGCTCATGGACACTGAGCGAAGTTGCATGACACTGAAGTCCATTCAGCAAAAAGTGATCAGTGTCCATTGGAATATCCATTACCTCTTTGTGAAATGTAGGATATAAATTGGAACTGACATAACCAGGAAATGCACAGTCATAGCCACAACTTGATTTAGAGGTGTAGATTTGGGAGGTTGGAGAGTTCTGGAGTGGTGATGCTATATCCCCTTGAAAATTGGTTGCATCGTAAGTAATGTGGTACGCTTCTGAACTTGGAAATAAGTGAGACTGAGCAAGCAGTGGCAGGCTGGCATCTGGGAAAATGCTAAATTTTTCTGGTCCTTCTTCATATGATACCGGATGGATGTAGGGAAAGTGATTACCATTCTCACTGCATGCTGTTCCTGTCTAAAGAGAATATTAATGGAAACAGTTAATGGACACACACACACATACCCTTTATTAAATACAATTGTTAACTATTGTTTAAATTATTTTTCTAGTATTTTTATCAGGATGTTTACCAGGGGTGGGTTTCTCGCCCCGTTCCAACCGGTTCGGTTGGAACGGGGCCGGCGGCGTCCTCGTGC